AGGATAATTTATAAAGAAAAGAGGTTTAATTGGCTCATGGTTCCACAGGCAGTACAGGAAGCATGGCTTGGGGAGGTCTCAGGAAACATTATGGTGGAAGTTGGGAAGCAGGTATGTTTTACGTTCTGGAACAGGAGGAAAAGGGCTAAGGGGGAGGTGCTACACACTTTTAAACAACCAGATCACGTGAGAACTCACTATCACGAGAACAGCAAGGGGAAAAATCCACCCCCATGATCCAGTCACCCCCTATCAAGCCCCTCCTCCAACACTGGGGATTACAATTCAACATGAAATTTGGGCAGGGACACAAATCCAAACTATATAACCAGGATAGGCCAAAAGTTAGGCCTCATGCACCAAATAGCCAAGTTGTGAATGGAAAGGAAACATTCTTGAAGAAAATTAAAAGTACTACTCCAGTGAACACATAAAAGAAAGCAAAAAAGCCTTACTGCTAATATGGAGAATGTCTGAATGGTCTGGAGAGAAGATCAAACCAACTATAATATTTCCCTAAGCCAAAGCCTAATCCAGAGCAAAGTTCTGTCTACAATTCTATGAAGGCTGAGGAGCAACCAAGCTGGAGAAGAAAAGCTGGAAGCGAGATTTAAGGAAGCTGTCTTCATAACAGAAAAGTGCAAGGTGAAGCTGCAAGTGTAGACGCTGAAGCTGCAGCAAGTTATCCACATCTATCTAAGATCACTGGTGAAGGTGGCTACACTACATAACAGAGTTTCAAAACAGATTAAACAGCCTTATGCCAGAAGATGATGCCATCTAGGACTTTCACAGCTAGAGAGAAGTCAATCCCTGGCTTCAAATCTGCAAAGGACAGTCTGATTCTCTTAAAAGGGGTTAATGCAGCTGCTAAGTTTAAGTTGAAATGCTCATTTACCATTCCAAAAATGCTAGAACCTTTAAGAATTATGCTAAATATCCTCTAACTATGCACTATAAATGGAATAACAAAGCATGGATGATAACACATCTGTTTATAGCATGGTTTCTTGGATATTTTAAGCCTACTGTTCAGACCTTCTGCTCAGAAAAAAGATTCCTTTCCAAATATTACTGCTTATTGACAATGCACCTGATCACCTAAGAGCTCTGATGGAAACATACAAGGACATTAGTGTTGTTTTCATGCCTGCTAACACAACATCCATTCTGCAGTCTGTGCATCAAGAAATAATTTCACCTGTCAAGTCTTATTACTTAAGAAATAAATTTTGTAAGGCTAGGGCTGCCACAGAGGGATTCCTCTGATGACTCTGGGCAAAGTAAACTGACAACCTCCTAGAAAGGATTCACCATTTTAGATGCCAGTAAGGACATTCTGAGATTCATGGGAGGAGGTCAAAATGTCAACACTTATAGAAATTTGAAAGAAGTTGATTCTAACTCTCATGGATGGCTTTGTGGGGTTTCCAGACTTCAGTGGTGGAAACAGCTGCAGATGTGGCAGGAAGAGCAAGAGAACCGGAATTAGAAGTGAAATCTGAAAGATGTGTCTGAATTGCTACAATATCCTGATAAAACATAAAGAGATGAGGTGTTGCTTCTTATTGTTGAGAAGAAAGAAGTTTCTTGAGAAGAAATTGACTCCTGGTGAAGATGTGAGCCCTGGTTAAAATGACAACAAAGGATTTAGAATATTACATAAACTTGATTGATGAAGCAATAGCAAGGTTTGAGAGCACTGACTCCAATTTTGAAAGAAATCACACTGTGGGTAAATGTCATTAAACAGCATCATATGCTACCGAGGAATCCTTCATGAAACAGAGAGTCAATAAATGCAGCAAACTTCACTGTGGTCTGATTTTAAGATCTTGCAAAAGACCCCCCAAGCCTTCAGCAACTACCACCCTGACCAGTTAGCACCCATCAACATCAAGGCAAGACCCTCCATCAGCAAAAAGATTACAACTCATCGAAGGCTCAGATGATACTAGCATTTTTTTAGTAGTAAATTTTAAAAATTAAGATGTAGTACATTATTTCTTTAGACATAATGCTATTGTACATTTAATACACTATAATGTAATATAAACATAACTTTTACATACAGTAGAAAACCAAGAATTTGAGTGACTGGCTTTACTGCAATATTTGCTTTATTGCAGTAGTCTGAACCCAAACCTGCAGTATCTCCAAAGTATGCCTATACATACATATACATGTTTTTCAACATAGTAAGAACATATGCAATATTACAAAGTATCTTTTAAGCCAATAATAGAAATGAAATTTAATCAAATGTTTTCTGGCATCTTTTGAGAGGGTCATGTTTTACTAAAGCGATCTTTTAAAATAAAAATAATTCTACTAATTCACCATTTAAATTGATCTTAAAAATGGAAACATGGCTGAATGTTTCAGAGATACTGATATGGTTAGGCTGTGTCCTCATCCAAATCTCATCTTAAATTGTAGCTCCCATAATTCCATGTGTTGTGGGTGGAACCTAGCAGGAGATAACTAAATCATGGGGGCAGCTTCCCCATACTGTTTTCATGGTAGTAAGTAAATCTCACGAGAGCTGATGGTTTTATAAGGGGTTTCCCTTTTTGCTTGGCTCTTATTCTCTCTTGCCTGCCACCACGTAAGATGTGCCTTTCACCTTCTGCCAGGATTGGGACGCCTTCCCAGCCACGTGGAATTGTAAGTCCATTAAACCTCTTTTTCTTCATAAATTACCCAGTCTCAGGTATGTCTTAATCAGCAGTGTGACAACTGATTAATGTAGGTACTTATAGTTTCTGCTTATTTTGCAATTGCAAGATTTTTGCATCTATAGTCACAAACAAAATTAAAATATAGTTATTTTTTATGTGAACTTAGTCATATAAATGAATTTTTTTTTTCTTTGAGACGAAGTCTCACTCTGTTACCCAGGCTGGGGTGGAATGGCGTGATCTCGGCTCACTGCAACCTCTGCCTCCTGAGTTCAAGCAATTCTCCTGCCTCAGCCTCCTGAGTAGCTGGTATTACAGGCACGCACCACCACACCCAGCTAATTTTTGTATTTTAGGTAGAGACAGGGTTTCACCATGTTTGTCAGGCTGGTCTTATACTCCTGACTTCGCAATCCAGCTGCCTTGGCCTCCTGGGATTACAGGCATGCCTGCTGGGATTACAGGCATGAGCCACTGTGCTGGGGCCACTTAATTATATTTTGATATCAGTATTATACTAGTTTTTCAAAGCTTTGAGAAATTTTACTTTTTTCTCCATGTGCTAAAACAAGTTAGAAATTTCTAGAAGAAAATTCCTGAGCCTTTTTTTTTAAATTGTGAAATGAAGTTGAGACTGTTTCTTAGGTTTTATGTGTTATTACTTCATTTTTCCTTCTTTCTAGGAAATTTATCAAAGATTTTTAAATGAGGAAATAACATGAGAGCTGTATTTTGTGAGGATCACTGTTAGTGGTGGACAGAAATCAGACGCAGCAAGAGGAAATGTAAAATTTTGGACGTTT